CTTGGCTGTGTGGTCAAGCCCGAAAAAGTTTTGTTGTTGAGGATTGTGCTACCTATGTTTTCCAGATTGATGTTCGCGAACGTCTTATTGACTTTTGGAAAAAAATTAAGGCTAGCTTTGGGTCGGTGATTATGTTTTATCGTTGAATGCGTCTCGTCCTGCATGGATCTCTGCCATTATCCGCGCAGACGGAGCTTGAAAGTCTTTGAGTTAGAAACGTGGTCATGTCTCGTACTGCATGGATCTCTGCCATATTTCGCGCAGTCGGACTTTTTGAATGATTTCGTAAAATTTAACTTGGATGCGTCTCGTACTGCATGGATCTCTGCCATCGTTCGCGCAGACGGACTTCTTAAATCGTAAACTTGAACTTGAATAATGTCTCGTGCTGCACGGACCATCGCAGACGGACTCTGATGAGAAAAAACGAGGGGGAAACGAGACTTGATAGAGTCTCAGAAAGAAAATGTTGTCCGCTTTGCTCGAGATGCGTAAGTGTCTGAAAGCTCTGGAATCTGGTTCCGTTCTGGGTTTCGAATTGCTCCGGAATTACAATATAGACATCTGCTGCGGTCATGCCTGAAGCATCGACATTGAAGTTGAGCAGAAGGAGATTTAGATCGATCGAATTGAGGAGAATTCCTCTGGCTATGGTGTTAGCTCTTTCAAAAAGTTTGTCAGCGAGAGGCATTCTGCCATTGACTACGTCCCAGCAATTTTCTTCATTGGCTAGGAGAACATTGATGACTCTTTTCCAGGCATCATAATTCTTGCTGTTTGAATCTAATTGCAAACTTGAATAGTTCGGAAGTTTGGAAGCTGAAGTGGTAGTGTTAGGGACTGTCACGGAATCTTCAGACAGTGACATTGTGATTATTGGACTAGGTGATGTGAATTGATCAAGAAGATCTGGGGAGTTCGTTCTGCTAAGAATTGCGAAACCTTCGCTTTCGACCGAATCGTTCATGGACTAGTGACTGCAATGAAAGCTGGTCTCTGGTCTTACACTACTGGTACTCACCGGACGTATTTGAGATTCAATCTTCCTGAATGTTGAATCTTTTAAAACTTCTGTTTTGTAGAGCTTAAAGTGCTGATTACGTCGTAAACCTGGAAATGTCGATCGCAGGTTCTGGGGAAACTTGGTTTGGAACTAGCTCAGGGGCTTTGATCACGCAGTAAGACGCAGAGTAGCAGCTCGGGGATGCAATTACAGTGTTCGTCGTTTATTTCTATCTAGGCGCTGCCTAAATACAAATCTAGTATAGAGGGTGAGAGCTGTCCTCCGAGAGGATGCTTGATTTCCTAGGTTGATCTACTTAGGGTTCAACCCCCTTAGGCAGACGAAGGAGTCCAGATCGGACTTGATTGATTGATGGCTCCGGAGTCCTCTTCGTCTAGCTAAGTGTCGGGGTTCTGTAATCAAAAGCTCACCGCACCCAATGCACGAGTGGGGTGAACCCCGTAGTCGGTTCTCTAAGCTAAGGGGCTCAGAGCCTCACTATCTAATCGAAACCCCTATTTCTAACACAATGCACCGCGCATTCGATGTAGTGCTTCGGAAATCGCTTCGAAGTCACCAGATTCGAGTCCTGTAAGCGATTCCGGCTAAGTAATTTCATCCAGGAAATTCTCATCGTCTAGCATGAGTGAGTGACAGAGAAGGAAGGCATGTCGACGGCCGGTTACATACTACGTCCGATGGCGTCGAATAGGCATCGAGAGATGATGCAGGAGTGTCGCCGCCTGCGTCGGTTCTCAAGAGAATTCCGACTTGGAATTTCCTCGACGAGTCTTCATCGAGTTTCGCTTCTCACTCAGTGAGCTCTCTGTATCTCGTTCGGGACGTCCTGGGTGAGCCTCTCGACCGACCGATGTTCGCAGAGTCTCCCTCTGAGTCCCTTCGGAACACTCGATGCAGGTACCTTCATCTTTCGTGATGTTATTCAAAACGTAGGTACTTGAAGTGAGTTCCGAGTTCAGGCAGTAGCTGCCATCCGGACCCTGGTTCCGAGAATCTCCGACGGATCCGGATTCCGACAGCAACACGATCATAAATTCCGAAAGCCGTCTGTTGGGACAAAGCGACAAGTTTGCGAGCAAACCACTCGGAAAGACTCGTCGGAGAGACCGGGCTTGAGTGATATGCGAGATTCGCGAACGTTTTCAACACATTAGTTCATTAGATTAGCACATCGCGATCATCTGGTCCACTCGCCGGTCGGCTACCTGTCGGTATACTCCTCACGGCTCTCGAGGAGATCCGGTCGTCTGAGTCACTGGCTTTCTGCGGCACTGACAGACGAACGGACTGCTCCTTGGATGGATTGCCGCTGCTGTATCGCTCGGTAAACCCATCTCGTCTGTAGTTAAGAGGGTAACCATCAGTTCATGAGAATTCCATAAGTGGTGCGGTGTGTGTGACGCTGTCGTTCAGTTACCGACCAGATAGTTACTTGCGTCGATTGTCTTACCCGACCAAAGCGGCTCAAGGAGTTCGATGATCCGCTCCGGCGATATTCACGTTATTTTGGGCTCCGAGTCGTCTTTCAACGGTATACCTCTTGGTGACACGATCTCTGAGCTCTTTCCCTTCTTTGCGGGAGTCATCGAGCCCACAAGGGAGCCCACAGGTATGGATTTCATTGTCGTTGATCCTGCTAATGGGTCGCTTCATCCGTGGGAGATCCATTGCAGTGTTTCGGAACTTATCTCCGATCCCTCGCTGTAATTATCTGAGCGAAACGATCGATTGTAGCGTCGCCTCCGGGCGCACTGTTTTGAGACTGTTGTTGATGATTGTGCTGCCGATATCAATTTGACCGCCCGAAATCGATGACACTGAGGCATCTGTGCGTGCCGAATCGTGCATATTGCGAGTGAGAGCTCGCGGGTCGAGAAATTTCAGACAAGCTGGTTGATGTTCGATGGTTGGCGCCCCGAGTAAACCTCTCCACCTAAAGCTCATCCGCAGGACTAATCAGAGGCCTAGAAGCGGTGGCCACTGATCGTCTCCATTCTAGGTTCTTTTCTGAATCCGTCGAGGGAGAGGAAACGACGAGAGGTCCTCACAGCTCTTCACACACGAGAAGAGCCCATCCGGGAATCGCCCTTGCGATAGGAGATGCTAGAAAAACACATCCGAACCAGAGCAAGCTCGGGTGAATGGCAGCAACCTCACGGATGACAGTCGCCCGAACCTACGCCTGAATATCAGGATTCATCTACTCCTGGAGGATCCGTGGCTATAACGAGAAGTGAGCTTCCCGATGCGGGATTCCACAGAGAAATCACTTCGGACGGAAATTCAGCCGAGAATTCGAAGAACATGGGCTGGCGTCTCTTTCAACTCACAGCTGATATCTAGCAATCACGCAGACGGGTGGAGGGCACTGCCGGGTAGTCGAATAGCTCGCGCGTCTTACAACCCTTGCTGGGAGTGGCTTCCCTCGGAGTTCTATGCACTTCGTGGAGTCCAGTTCGTGAATTCCACTCTCGAGGGGTCGAGCTTCGACCCGTGACATAGTACCTACTATTAAATCGTTCAGGAGATGTGATCTAAGACGGCAGACTCGGCAGTTTCGTCACGGCTAAGCATCCAGTATGATCAAGAGCATCGCATAGATTTCTATCAATCATTATTGTTTGAAATTATCCTTGGCAGAGCAAAAGTTGTCGTCTGCTATTTTCGAGGCCGATTCGGCCGTTGGTGCTCGGGAACGTTCCCTACTTGTTTTACGGCAATCGATTGAAAAACGAAACTCTGAGAGAAGAGAAACGAGACGGAAATTATCTTTCTGACGGAGAAGTCTCTTGAGATCAGGATTGAGGCTCCAACGACCCTATACGCTTTCATCGACGGAAAGACGACTCGTTGTGAGGAAGCATTTCTGGATGGCTACCAGACATCAGATAAGCGGACGGTGCGGTGCGAGCCTAACCCTTCGACTGAAGCGAAAAGGATCAAGCCGAGATTCGAGAGCCCGCGACCCGGAGTTCCGAAGCCTGGAGTCGGAATCCCTCCTCCTCGCAGCCCTTGCCCAGTGTTGACGTTTGCTGAGTCCTCCGGTGTATGCCTCTATAGGAGCGGTGTTCGATTCCGCAAATTAGGGTATTTCCAGCGTTTTTCTAGTCTGCGAAATTATCTGGAAGCCCACCATATCTTCATGAGTGAAGTCCTTCGTGGAAGCTGCCCTTTAGTCGCTGGGACGACGGACATGTGACTCTCTCAGGTAAAGAGCCACGGCTAGCTGTTGCTCTATTTGGGATTATCCATCTGTAAACTATGCAAACTCCTTAAGAGTTCGGAGCAGATATCAAGGCCATAGTATGGCGCTCTCCGTCGTCGTTACGGATATCCGGTTGAGCACCCCATCGTCGCGTCGGTATTCCAATTCCTAGAGGGAACATGTTTTTCGTACAGCTCATGTGGGCTCTCGTATCGCGATTCATTGTACAGTGAAACTTCGTTCACGGAACGCCGCGCTAAACGACCATTTCGGAAAACGAACTTCCGCGCTCGAAAACATTGTTTAGGATAAGAATCCCCATTTCGCTTAATGAAAGTTGTCCGTCTTCCCCTATGAAACATTTTTATTCCGGGAGAGGGAATTGGACCCTTCGACCACGTTTCATGGTTTCCTGGGCCAGACTGGAGGGCTCTAAACTCTGAAGGCAGCACCGGGAGCATGCTTGCGACACGGAGAATTACGGTTTCGTACGACGAAATTTTTTTTGCCTAGCGAGCGGCTCTTTGGAATGGATCAAGTTAAAGCACCGAGGTTTCACTGTACCTCTGACAATCGAATCATAACTCATTCACGATGCCCATTACCGAAGAAAGTTTCCAATCGAAGGCCCCACTCGACTCGTGGGTATCCTGCGTCCCTTTGCGCCACGTATTGAGCGATGTTTAGCCTTCAATACGCGGTTGACCGTGCCGCGTCTTGAGGGCCAGATCGATGACGTATCGATGAGCCATGTCGGGCATCTACTAAGGCTTCCTACCTACAGTCGGCTCCGACTTTGTGTTATTCTCGGCCCGCGAATGGATTGCCCCTACAAGGAGCCGGGAGATCGCCGAACGTCGAAGGAGGATAGTGGAATAGAGCGAACTTCCAGCGTCGGAGTTTATTCACAGTGTTATATGTACCACATGGTCCAGTCTACGCGGAGATGGGGCGGGATCTCTTCCCTCACCAGCACTTCGCCTGGCGCCTCGCTCAAGGTGGTCGCCGTCACGTCTCGGGCACGTCGAGATCATATTCTGAGCTGACCCTTCCGATTCGATTTCGCATCCTCCGTGGGCTCGCTCAGCAACATACGTAGATACACCAAAAAATTGAAAAATCGTGCTTTCGATTACGACCGTGAGCTCAAAGATAGTACCGAACAAATCTTAGCCCGTACATGACAACAAAGAGACGTGTAAAGCTCTTAGTAAGCTCTCCGGAGAAGAATCAACTCGGTTGTTGGATGGCGAACTTTTCGGAAGCAAAGGCTTCCTCTGGGTGCGTCGTGAAACCACGTGGAACCAGATGCACGTGAATGAAGCTCCGAGCCAGTTCTGAAACCTGCTCGTGGCCGTGCTCCATGAGACGGCGCAATTTTCTCTCGATGTCACAATCCAACATCTCATGCAAGAAGTCTTCTTCCATCTTCAAATCCTTCGCAATGTCGAGCAGGTTGACTAGCGATGCCAGGACATCGTAAACGATGCTGGCGTCGAAGTTGCTCAGCATTCGAACCATCGGCGGGACCAAGCCTTTATTGAAGGCTTGCAGTATCTGTCGGTCGTGCGCATTCCCGATGAAACTGCAGAGAGCGATCGCAGCTTCGCGTTGGACCTTCAAGTCTCCGTGCTCCAAGTGGTAGATGGCGGCCGTCAGTAGATTGTTGTTGATCGCGCACTGTATCTGTGCGGAACTGCATGCGAAAACGTTCGCGATGGCGAAGCACGCGGAATAATATAATTCACTGATCTCCTCATGCATGACAATCGAAAGAACATTGAGAATTCCTTGGTCGATGAAGACTTGGCAAGAATGGTTGTCAGCCGAAAGAAAGTCGGCGACCAGCAGTACAAGATCACCGAAACACGATCGATTACAGTGCCGGAGATTCGGGTGGCGAGCCATGCGACTCAGTATACGCGACTTGGTCGCCAGCTCCAGCGTCTTCGGCTCCGCTAAATTATGCAGGACGTTGAGCAGAGCTCGACAGGCCTCTGAGATGACCTTGCAGTCGCAACGCTCGAAATCGAGTACTTTGTTCAGGATATCGAGGATTTTCTGACACATCTGTTGGTCCGCTCGAGGTCCTTGCCGAGCGATGTTCGAGAGGAGCCAAACGGCATTTTCGAGAACTTGCGCAGAACTGTTTTGGCTCACGAAGTCCCCCAGCAGGTCGAATGAGAAGTGGTGAACGACCGAGTCTCGATGGTCTGGGCTATCCCCAGCAACGTTCGCGAGCAGCCAGAGGCCCTGGGCGAGCACCTCTTCGTCGACGACGTCCTTCCTCAGAATTGGCAATATTTTCTCGAGCCGCGCGGCGACCATCGCGACATAGTCTGAGTCTCCACAGGCGATGTTTGTCAGAATCCATATAGCGCTATATTTGATGCTAAGTTCGTCTTGTTCGAGACAGAAATCCATCAGGGACATGATGTTCCCGCTCACGGCCGTATCGACGTGTTCCGCACAGGCTAATCCACCACGTATTTGGTGGAGTGCCTCAGAGATTTCTTTGGAGTTACCCGACTCGATTCCTGCAAACGATTACGGCTGAGTGAGTTTCCTCTCGGAAATTCCGCCGTCAGGCTGGCTCACGGTAGGGAGAATCGGTATTGACGGCCGGTGACACACACAGATTGTCTCACCTGTCCGAAGCAGCTCAAGTAGTTCGAGAATTTTTTCTTCGGTGATATTCGTATCATTCTGAGTACAGAGTCGCCTTCTGAAGATGTATCTCTTGGTGATACGATTGTCTTTCTCCTTTTCCTTGCGGGAATCACTCGAATGCATACATGATAGTCCGGAAGCGTTGATTCGATTGACGGAACCTCTGCTGGCGGGTCGCTTCATTCGTGGTAGGCCCATCACACTTTCGCGGAACTTAGCTTTGATCGCCGACTGCAATGAGAGAAAAACAATAGACCGAAGCGAAGTGCTGCCGAGAGCGCACTGTTTTGAGACTGCTGTTGATGATTGTGCTGCCGTTATCAGTTTGTTCGCGCGAAAATGATGACGCTGTGGCATCTGTGCGAGCCGAGTCGTGCATATTGCACGTGTGCGCTCGCGGGCTTCGAATTTTCTGACAAGCTAGTGAATGTTTGACGGCGGAACGTGTCGGCCGGCATCCGGCTCTCGGCCCGTCTCCTGGAGGCGAGGCGTTCTCTTGATCCTGAACTGTGATACCTTGTGTCGGGAATTCGCAAGACACTGTGAACTCTGCTCCGATCCCCCGGGATCATGAGCGCCGAATTTCGTGAAAGATATGATCTTAGGGGGCGTTTTCGTCAATGGTGCGGGGATACTTTCGACGCTTGCGGGGTAAGTGGAGCTTCCGCCTACCCAGGGTACACTTTGGAAAAACTCGGGGAGCATTCACAGAGCGAGTTCCTTCAGAGCTTCCCGAGAGAAACTCGTCTAGGAATCCCTCCTTCCCCGCGAGCCAAGGCATCGGGCCTACCGTGATGTAGAGTACTCGGGTGTACCGTGATCCGAGAGTAAATCGATGACGACTCTTAGTGGCATGCAGATATGCAATCATCGAGCAAGACGTCGCAGGAGAAAGGATGCGACATCTCGTCGCGAAATTTTTCAAAGAATCGAATTTATCGGGAGCCATACCATCCAAATCGCCCCGTACTATCTCATCTGCTCGTAATCGCTTCTGTCGATTACGATGGAGATGACCGATACTAGGATAACGCCGCGCCAGTTAGATCTCTCCAAACAACTTCCGCGGTCTCCCGACTCTCTTGCGCTTCTATGCTCCAGAACAGTAGGTGTTCGAAACGATGATTTCGGGCGAGGCGATGATAAGCTAGGGATGAGTGAACGAAGAAGATGATTCAAATTGCTCAGCGTCTATGACGAGCAGGATTTTCACAGAATGTTCATCAGATCGAAAGCGGTGAGCTGGAATTTGATTCCGACCTTGGGTCCGTTTCCGATGCTCGCTCACAGGCTCTTCCTCTGATCTAGTCGAGAAAAGTTTTTTGGAGAGTCAATTTTCTCCCGAGGCTTCGCGGTCGGCACCCTTCACGTCCCACAGATGCGCAAAGTACTGCGTAATCCCGGAGATGAGAGAGGATGTCGAGGTGAAAGCTGTTCGATCCGCCACGTCGTTCTCTGAGAAACTCCAGTCGGAATCTCGGATCGAGAGACCCTTGTGATGACTCGGAATGCTCATCCTGGTACTCCTGTTGCTGATCTCACGGAATGAAAGTCATCCGTTCCGTCACGCCGACGGGTACCAGCTCCCCATCCCAGAGCTGACTGGTTGGAAATCATTACTTTCCCCAAACTCGTGCAGAACTTCGCCCCGATCGGTAGCTCGCGTACGGTAAATACTCGCTGAGCGCTCCCTGTGACACTGGAACATTCCTCCATCCACGGGTTCTACAGGCTGAGAGCGGGAATTCAAGTCATGGCTCTCGGCAGGCATCGCAGTCGCATTCATTCTTGTCGAAGCGAAATTGGGAGCTTCACTGACTCTATTGATGTTCACAACATCCACCCATTCATCCGCCCAGAACGCTGCGAATTATTCGTGCCGTATCCATGGACAGACGAGTTCAAAATCCTTCATACAAAGCTGGCAGAGGCCTGAACATCGGAGATCGGCATTGGGTTGAAAGCTGACTGGGATCGAAGTGCATCCGATCCTCTCTCGAATTTCTGCGCGAACTCCGGCAGACTCCTGCTCGAATTCGATACCGCTCCGAAGTTGAAAAAGGTTGTGCTCGGAATTGAACTCTCTATGACTGCCGGAACTTCTGGACTCCTAAAATGTTCAGACTTCTCCGATTATAGATTCTCAACGGAAATGATAACTGAGCTGCATTCGATGAGTCCGCTTTCCTGAAATAAGCCACGCGATAAGTCTCAACCGTATTGGGGGATGAATGATCTCTGTCCGAAAGGTGATTCTCGTTAGCTGAAACTGTTCCAACTCGATGTCCACTATCCTGCAATAAGCGGGAATGCGTTTAACTACGCGGTATTCGAGGAAAACTCGAGCGGGCTTCGTGTTCGTATGGACTTCCGAGTCGAAAAAGCGTCCTGCCCGGTTCCCGGACCCCATCCTGTCGTTTGATGTATACTCGTATCCTCTAATGATGCCGAGATGAATGGGAAGAAACTGGCAAGTAAGCCGCCGAATTTCATAAACTGTCGCTAAGGGGCTGATTGGCTGGCCGGCCGGCAGCCTGACGACTGCGTTTGTCTCCATGACTACCTATCGCCGATCCCGCGGTCCCTCGCCCACATAGAGGAGTCCCTCTCCTTTTCACGACGGGCCCTGTGCGGCTGTGTGTGTAGCTCGTGAGTCAACCAAGAACGAACTTACAGTAACTAAGCAACGGACGTAGCCACATTTGGAATACTTTGTCCGTCTACGAGTTTCCGAGTGTACGCCGGACGATTCCACTATCGGTTCGTTATCATACGAGCAAGTATAGTGGTTTGTCGGCACCTTGTTTTGTCCGTCTGTTGCTGCTGGCCGCGGAAGTTTCCCCTGTGGACGTCGTGAGGTTGGGCCTTGGTGAACTTGCTCAGTGATCACATCATTGGAATATAACAAGCTTCATGCACCTCTGAACTGAGGTGTGGTGGAGTGCAACTCTTTACATCGCTGTGGATGGATACGCTTAGCTCTCTTTTGCTTGACGTGGGAAAGTGTCACTGAAAACCCTGGATTATGCTCCCTGGATCTTCGATAGTCTCTGCACATAGACTCCAAATTCGCACACAAAATGGTGAGTTCGATCAAATATCCACTGATGTCAGAGCTAGGGAGGACGCGTTCGATGGAATTAGAAATCGACGCGGATTTAAAATACCACGGAAGCGATTCTACGTATGTGCAGTTTTGAAGATCCTGGAACGACGCCCTGATTCTTCCACCGAGTTGCAATCAGAGAAACACCTGACTGGGAGTCTGTCATCAGGCGACCCCTCCGCGGAGTATGATGAGCGCCAGCTCTCGATTCCGATTCGGACTCTGGCTTCTGATTTCCCGTTGTCGTGCCCACTGGTCTTAGTGGAAGCGGAGCTTTGCGACTCCGTCAAGGTGAAATCGAAGTGCAAGTCAAGTTTCGGACGGAGAGATGTCGATTCGACTCGATGATTCTCCGACCACGACACGAGTTCCTCGATATTTTCGCGTGGACTTCGCTCGGATTTTGAGGAGTACGATATCAGTGAGACCTTATATCCTCCAAGGAAGTTCCTCATTCGGAAACCGTGTGTTTCTTTCGGTCCATAGTGGGCGCCGCCATCTTGGATCAGGAGGTTTGCGCCGTCACGGCGACAGGGCCCGCTGTCAAGATTCGTTGAGCAGGTGGCCGGAAACGTGTCTTCGGAGAACTAAGCTTCGACGAGCTGAAACATAGAGAAACGGGCGATTTTTCTGAGCGATATTTTTGAAAGTGCCTTCTTCAAAAACAGTCGACTGTTGTCAAACCTGTACCGATGTTTCGTTTGTTACCCGAATGGTAGAAGTTATCGTTTTTGGAAGCGGTACACCGTGAACACAATAATACGTGCTCATATCGATCGTCACGGCTTAGTCTCCGGCACCACGGATGACTGCCAAGCTTGGATTGGCCTTGCGGAGAGCCACTGAATTCCGAACTGCTTTTTCCCCGGAAAAAATTAGATTTTCGGTTTCGAACCTCTCCGCGACTCCCGCCAGTTGGAGACCTGCAAATTCAAGACCCAATTTCTCCCCCTGCCTATAAAGGAAATCGTAGGGACCTCAACCTTCACCAAAGACTCGAAGAAAGTCGTTTACCAGCCCGGATAATCGATGGTGTCTCCTCTGTGATTGCGGCGTATTGAGGAGTCATAATGTTGAGCACGGGACGCTCTCAGATTTTTCAGCAAGGGGGATGAAGATACTTGGACGAGAAAAATAATTTCCGAGCCCAAAAAGTCGTATTGGGCAATAGTCAGCTGGAGTAACGCTGAAGTTAGAAAATATCTTCCTTCTTCTGTGGAGCGCTGGCCAGTTTTCGTCGTCGCTCACCAGAAGTTGAGTCATTGAAGGACGACAACATTCAACATCCAGCAAGCGAGCAGACGAACGAATCAGCGAGCTAGCGAAAAGGAATAGGAATCGAGCGAAGAACGAGGTACAGTAAATGGCCAATGGGCACCTCGAGAGATGTCAATCCAGTAAAACTCGCCGCCGTAGAATAGCTTCACAGTTTACGGCCACAGTCGTAACCACCTCAGATAACTGCTTCCTTCTCCCAGCGCCGACGTCCGGGCAATAAGTTCAACTATTTCCCACCAAGCCAGCGTTTTTCATTGGCTCTTTGTTCTGGAAAGCTATCTGGCTCGATTTTTTTGGTTCTTTCTCTTCTTCGTCCGCGAAAAGTTCGAGGGAAGAACGAGGGAACTGCTTTGTTTATGCCGTTCCGAGTTTCGAATTTTTTGTCATCATCGCCAGTCCCATAACCTCATCGTCACTTCCAACGGTCGAACTTATTCCTCTGCGCTTCCGCTGAGTTTCCCCGACGTCGCGGGAGCTCTGAATGTTCAACTGTGAGCGTTCTCGCAACGACTGCAGTCGCAGCTGTGAGTCCGTGATTCCGGAATCGGGACGATGATACAACTCTAAACGGCTCGTTGCGGATTTCGTTTGAACCTCTTGACGCTCTTTCAGTCAGATCCGACCCGGGGGAACATACGTACCTACCTCGAGCGTCGACTCCGCAACAATGCCAGCTGCTCTGTGAATCTAGGCCAAGACGCCTCGTGATTTTTACCATTTTCCTGCGTGAGGTCATGTGACTTTTCAACGGGTGACGCCTAGGCGCGGAGCACGCACACCGCACCTGCTTCGCTGGTGAATGCTTCGGTGGAGCCTTCCAGCGTTCAGACAATGGAACCTACTTTTGTGCACCGAATCAGAACCGATGGCAACGCCGGACGGTGCTGACTTCGCACGAGAACTTGAGCGCAGCTCGAGGGAAGAGGTCGAGGAAGCCCCCTTGAATCGGGCGCTCATTAGAAGCTCCTCCAAGAATAACGAATCATGATTTATTTCGACGAGCACCTGGTCGACTCAAGGTTACGAAAATGAAATCTCTCTGCGAGCTTGGAGGACAGGTTCTCGGCTCGAGGCATGATCTCCGAAAATCGTGGAAGGGATCGAAATAGGCGAGGGTGTGTGGGTCACTGCTCCGGCTCGCCCCAGGCTCGCCGAACGAAAAAATCCCCGAATAATATCTTGAGAGTTTTTCTATGGAAGTTGTATTTGTGATTGAATGATTGACATTCGGATGTTTTTCAAGCGATGAAGGAAAAACGGAGGAAAA